AAATATACTATCTAAATATAATAACTAATATATAATAATAAATACTATTTTAACTATATATATAAAAATACAAATATTGAATATTTATAATTAAAATAACTAAGTAAAATCTACATCAAAAATCTACTTTGTAACAATACATAAAGTCACCCAGGACCCTTTTAGTAACTCTTTGAATGACTGAAGTGACCAAAGCATCGCCAATGCCTCCAACTGTGCTATAACTCTTGAGGTATGAGGTTGTGCCCAACTTTTCGCTGCCCTGTACTCCTAAAAGACACCACACCAACCGGTTATCGATGCATTGACATATATCAACCTTATTCAGGAAGGTTTCTAGACTAGCTGGCCATTCCATCTTTTTAGGTTTACTATCAACCAATAGATGTCCTCGACCGCCTGTTCCGATAGCTGAATTCTGTTGTCCCATTGCTCAATAAGCCGATTCTTTGAGTCTATCAGCTTGTAGAACTCTATACACTTTACCTGGCTTGGAAGAAAGGCTCGTTCTAAACTTATTATCGTTTCTGCAACCAATGCTAAACTTCTCGCCGTTACTACAGATGCCTTCAACAATGTCTCCAATCTTGAAACTGCCAATACTATCTTTTCCTCAGGTGCTACCACCAAGCTATTCAATGTATCTATTACCATTCCACAAAACTTCAAGGTCTAAGTCAGGTTCTAGTACCTCTTCTCTTCAGCTTGAACCTATCCACATCTTAATAGATCTACCTCTATTACTTTTGCCCTTATTTCTAACAATACTTCCCTTACCGGGTAGGCAACTCATAAATCATTCAAGTGGTTCTCACAATATATTCCTTGAACACACTATTTGCCGATTAAAGCTCCCATTAGTTTTGAAAAAACCCAGGGAGCCTGACTTAGGCTGAAAGGTAACATCCTGTATTGATATCATATTTTTGCTACAACAAAGCCCAATAGTTTCTACGCTTCAGTATTTATAAGCACATGATGGTAATCATCCTTTAGATCGAACGAAATTACTACCAGTTTCTTCCAATTGTTCTTAGTAGACCGCCCAGCCCTTTAAATTGAAAAGACTTTTGGGGCAATGTTTGATTTAACCTTTGCAGATCGACCACTAGTTGAAACCTTCAGAAACCCTTTTTCGGAACCAAAAAAATCAGGCTCACTTCTAAAAATCCCAATGGTCAAGTATAACCTTCGCCAACTTTTACTATTGCACCTGAAGTTTCTAACCTTTCTAACTCCTCTTTTAATCATTGTTCCTCCTCTTTTGTAAATTGATAAAACCTTGGATCCAGCTATTAAACGAACTAAGTTTTTTGGAAACAAGAGAATTCCTTTCTTTAATCACATTAGCACCAACTGCAATGGCTGAATCACCTCCTTTCAGTACCTTATTGCTGCTCTGCTGTGAATTTTTCTTGTTATCTGCTCCTTTGCAACTACTACCTCCTCTACAGACTTCTGAGTATAATCAACTATTTCTCGACTAGGCTCCATCACTTTGAAAGAGCAAACTAAGGTGCTTTCTGAAGCTACACTCATTAGCAAAATATCCCTTACCTTTACACAAGTAACAAACTACCTCTCTTCCCTTAAACCTCTTGCTTCTGTCACCTTTCTTAGACCAGGCGGATGCTGGCAAATAAGATTGTTGCCATATTGGAGATGACAGACCAATATTCGAACTAACATATTGCAGGTGCTGACCTCTGCCTTGCAGATACTGGGGACTCGTCTGAACTGTTTGAAAAACTATCACGAGACCTCCGAACTGCCCTTGCAAAACTGTTGGCTGGTTTAAAAACTGTTAGTAAAATCCTGTTTGATATATGTAAGGCTGAACCTGTGAGAATTGTATCATTGGAATACTGCTCAAATGAAAGATAGGGGCCTGGGTTTGGGACTGCTCAGAACGAGGGTGATAAGCTGATCTCGGCTTCTTAACTTTTGTAAAATGCTGCACTACTAACTTAGCTTTTTCACGCTTACTTCCTAAAAGCTCAGATATTGAATCCGAAGCATCTGCAATAGCCATCTTGGATGCAACCCCCAACCATCTTCGTCTGCTACTCTTACGACATAAGCTCTCTTCAAAACAACCTGTCTCGCCAAACAGATATAGGCTAAATCTCTCAACAACAAGGCTTTGTTCAGTAATGCCCCTATTTTGTATAACTCATTATACTCCCACTGGTTATGCTGCTTTGACAACTCACGCTTTTCCCAAATGTTCCTATGTTCCACAATCCTCTAGCATCAGGGTATCTAAATCTGCATTCTAACTTGGGGCTTTTTTGTCCAAGGTTCCAATATATGCAAAGTTTAAACCAAACATTGCCTGCCTTCTATAAGGGTCAGAAGAATTTTCTACCACTGCTCTTAACTGCTGCGGCCTGTCACTAGCACTCTGAAATGCATCAAGCTCCTCCGAAAAACTCTCATCTCGATTCCCAAGAAACTGTGGCTGTACATTCTTTCTTTTTTTGGATGGCTCAGGTTCACCAATAGCCTCTTCTGGCCCCATCCAGGCTTTACTTTCCCTTGCTAACCTAGCCACAACCTCCTTATTTGAGCCCACATCAGATACATCCATTCTTCTGCAGACAACCCTCAATGCTTCCAATGACAAACATTTTAGGTTTGACTCCAAATTCGCCTGCATCATGTCAAGTTGAGCTGAAGCATCGTTTGACACTACCGGTTCTGACTCCCTATTCGATATTGACATAACAGATAACCACAAAACTAGCAATCTCTTTCACTTAACTCGTCTAATGAAACAATTAATATTTGTTTTTAGATGTGACAAGCAAAACACGAAACTAGTTACTTCACTCCTGTATAATGCAATGGTAAATAATTGTTTTTACTTTAGATGCGACAAGCAAGCACAAAATCAGTTACTTGCTGGTACAATGAAATGAAAGATTCAAACTTAGATAAGAAATATGTGTTGCACAAAAAAATCAGACAAAGTTGGATTAGCAGAAAAAACAGAAATTACCTTTCATAGAAAAAAACCCCATTTCACTTAAATACTACTAATGATTACTAATCTCAAATACTACATCATTATGTCATAAAATCACATACAATTATAGACTAAATCCTGTTTTATATAATATGCATGTATAATGTATAAAGCATAGAAGACACTCAGATTTTTACGAAAAATCATGGGTTATGATATTTATGTGATTGGTTAATTTATGTAAATTTATGCGTAACTATTGACCAATCAAATCAAATTATTAGCTGCCCAATACGAAAGTATCGGAGCAGCATTTTTGTCTTGAATCGATCATGGGTATATAGTAATTGCTTGTGATGTATAATCGTATGATCTTGTCATTTGATGCATAATAATTTTAACTATGGCTTTGTTGATGCATTGTATAATCTTGTATGTGATTTTATGACATAATGATGTAGTATTTGAGATTAGTAATCATTAGTAGTATTTAAGTGAAATGGGGTTTTTTTCTATGAAAGGTAATTTCTGTTTTTTCTGCTAATCCAACTTTGTCTGATTTTTTTGTGCAACACATATTTCTTATCTAAGTTTGAATCTTTCATTTCATTGTACCAGCAAGTAACTGATTTTGTGCTTGCTTGTCGCATCTAAAGTAAAAACAATTATTTACCATTGCATTATACAGGAGTGAAGTAACTAGTTTCGTGTTTTGCTTGTCACATCTAAAAACAAATATTAATTGTTTCATTAGACGAGTTAAGTGAAAGAGATTGCTAGTTTTGTGGTTATCTGTTATGTCAATATCGAATAGGGAGTCAGAACCGGTAGTGTCAAACGATGCTTCAGCTCAACTTGACATGATGCAGGCGAATTTGGAGTCAAACCTAAAATGTTTGTCATTGGAAGCATTGAGGGTTGTCTGCAGAAGAATGGATGTATCTGATGTGGGCTCAAATAAGGAGGTTGTGGCTAGGTTAGCAAGGGAAAGTAAAGCCTGGATGGGGCCAGAAGAGGCTATTGGTGAACCTGAGCCATCCAAAAAAAGAAAGAATGTACAGCCACAGTTTCTTGGGAATCGAGATGAGAGTTTTTCGGAGGAGCTTGATGCATTTCAGAGTGCTAGTGACAGGCCGCAGCAGTTAAGAGCAGTGGTAGAAAATTCTTCTGACCCTTATAGAAGGCAGGCAATGTTTGGTTTAAACTTTGCATATATTGGAACCTTGGACAAAAAAGCCCCAAGTTAGAATGCAGATTTAGATACCCTGATGCTAGAGGATTGTGGAACATAGGAACATTTGGGAAAAGCGTGAGTTGTCAAAGCAGCATAACCAGTGGGAGTATAATGAGTTATACAAAATAGGGGCATTACTGAACAAAGCCTTGTTGTTGAGAGATTTAGCCTATATCTGTTTGGCGAGACAGGTTGTTTTGAAGAGAGCTTATGTCGTAAGAGTAGCAGACGAAGATGGTTGGGGGTTGCATCCAAGATGGCTATTGCAGATGCTTCGGATTCAATATCTGAGCTTTTAGGAAGTAAGCGTGAAAAAGCTAAGTTAGTAGTGCAGCATTTTACAAAAGTTAAGAAGCCGAGATCAGCTTATCACCCTCGTTCTGAGCAGTCCCAAACCCAGGCCCCTATCTTTCATTTGAGCAGTATTCCAATGATACAATTCTCACAGGTTCAGCCTTACATATATCAAACAGGATTTTACTAACAGTTTTTAAACCAGCCAACAGTTTTGCAAGGGCAGTTCGGAGGTCTCGTGATAGTTTTTCAAACAGTTCAGACGAGTCCCCAGTATCTGCAAGGCAGAGGTCAGCACCTGCAATATGTTAGTTCGAATATTGGTCTGTCATCTCCAATATGGCAACAATCTTATTTGCCAGCATCCGCCTGGTCTAAGAAAGGTGACAGAAGCAAGAGGTTTAAGGGAAGAGAGGTAGTTTGTTACTTGTGTAAAGGTAAGGGATATTTTGCTAATGAGTGTAGCTTCAGAAAGCACCTTAGTTTGCTCTTTCAAAGTGATGGAGCCTAGTCGAGAAATAGTTGATTATACTCAGAAGTCTGTAGAGGAGGTAGTAGTTGCAAAGGAGCAGATAACAAGAAAAATTCACAGCAGAGCAGCAATAAGGTACTGAAAGGAGGTGATTCAGCCATTGCAGTTGGTGCTAATGTGATTAAAGAAAGGAATTCTCTTGTTTCCAAAAAACTTAGTTCGTTTAATAGCTGGATCCAAGGTTTTATCAATTTACAAAAGAGGAGGAACAATGATTAAAAGAGGAGTTAGAAAGGTTAGAAACTTCAGGTGCAATAGTAAAAGTTGGCGAAGGTTATACTTGACCATTGGGATTTTTAGAAGTGAGCCTGATTTTTTTGGTTCCGAAAAAGGGTTTCTGAAGGTTTCAACTAGTGGTCGATCTGCAAAGGTTAAATCAAACATTGCCCCAAAAGTCTTTTCAATTTAAAGGGCTGGGCGGTCTACTAAGAACAATTGGAAGAAACTGGTAGTAATTTCGTTCGATCTAAAGGATGATTACCATCATGTGCTTATAAATACTGAAGCGTAGAAACTATTGGGCTTTGTTGTAGCAAAAATATGATATCAATACAGGATGTTACCTTTCAGCCTAAGTCAGGCTCCCTGGGTTTTTTCAAAACTAATGGGAGCTTTAATCGGCAAATAGTGTGTTCAAGGAATATATTGTGAGAACCACTTGAATGATTTATGAGTTGCCTACCCGGTAAGGGAAGTATTGTTAGAAATAAGGGCAAAAGTAATAGAGGTAGATCTATTAAGATGTGGATAGGTTCAAGCTGAAGAGAAGAGGTACTAGAACCTGACTTAGACCTTGAAGTTTTGTGGAATGGTAATAGATACATTGAATAGCTTGGTGGTAGCACCTGAGGAAAAGATAGTATTGGCAGTTTCAAGATTGGAGACATTGTTGAAGGCATCTGTAGTAACGGCGAGAAGTTTAGCATTGGTTGCAGAAACGATAATAAGTTTAGAACGAGCCTTTCTTCCAAGCCAGGTAAAGTGTATAGAGTTCTACAAGCTGATAGACTCAAAGAATCGGCTTATTGAGCAATGGGACAACAGAATTCAGCTATCGGAACAGGCGGTCGAGGACATCTATTGGTTGATAGTAAACCTAAAAAGATGGAATGGCCAGCTAGTCTAGAAACCTTCCTGAATAAGGTTGATATATGTCAATGCATCGATAACCGGTTGGTGTGGTGTCTTTTAGGAGTACAGGGCAGCGAAAAGTTGGGCACAACCTCATACCTCAAGAGTTATAGCACAGTTGGAGGCATTGGCGATGCTTTGGTCACTTCAGTCATTCAAAGAGTTACTAAAAGGGTCCTGGGTGACTTTATGTATTGTTACAAAGTAGATTTTTGATGTAGATTTTACTTAGTTATTTTAATTATAAATATTCAATATTTGTATTTTTATATATATAGTTAAAATAGTATTTATTATTATATATTAGTTATTATATTTAGATAGTATATTT